TCACGTTCCGACACCAAGATAGTATATGGATCGGGTGCCACGTTCCGGTACCAGGATAGTATATGAGGATCGGAGTGCCACGTTCCAACACCAGGATAGTATATGGATCGGGTGCCACGTTCCGGTACCAAAATAGAATATGGATCGGGTGTCACGTTCTGGTACAAGGATAGAATATGGATCGGGTGTCACATTCCGACACAAGGATAGAATGAGGATCGGAGTGTCACGTTCCCACACCAGGATAGTATATTGAGGAGTGGAGTGTCACGTACCGACATGAGAGGAATAAAGATAATGAATCTTGAAAGATGTTAATATATTCAATCTAATGAACCTAATTCCCAAATGAGTATGATGAGGAGGCGTGAGTCCTCATTGATGTGCTTGGTGTTGTAACCAAGGGTTATGGTAATTGTAAATGCTGCATGCTAAGGATATTAGTTGATTTTATGATGTTATCTGATATATACTGTTTTCTATTTTGAGTTGGCCGATGATACCTACTCAGTACTTGTGTTTGTACAGACCCCCCTACTTTTATGTTTTCTTCTTTGTTATTTGTGGAGTGCAGCAAACGTGCCATCGTCTTCAACTCAACCGCAACTCTAGCCAGTCTTCATTACTCCGGATTTCAGGGTGAGCTAATGCTTCTAGCTTGGACTGGATCTTCCTTTTCATGTCTTGATGCCTTGAAGTTCCGGCATGGACTAGCTTTTTATGTATTTTAGCTTCTAGATATTCTTAGATTTAGTAAGTTGAAGTAGATGTTCTTGTGATGATGACTTCCAGATTTTGGGGATAATAATAAATGTTTGAGTTTTTAGAAGTTATTTGATTTGTTTTGTTAATGTGTTTTTAAGTCTTCCGCAATGTATTTAGTTCATTATGTTTGAAATGATGTGGTTTAGATTGGTTGGTTCGCTCACATAGGAGGATAAATGTGGGTGCCACTCACGGCCCGCTTTGGATCGTGACAATGTAAATCTCTAAGTAGTTATAATGAATGTTATAAATTTTTTGGTAATTTTTCAACCTATTAATGTAATGAAATGAGACTAAGAGGCTAGTCTTCGTCCTTAAAAAAGACGACGACGACGGTTACATCTAGGGGTAAACCTGAATGTGAAATTAACTAAGAGTTTTAATAGATGATGAACGGTCACCATATGTGGATTTATAAAAATAATACTTCTTATATGCATTTTTGTATATCATTTTCATTTTAATTCAAGACCATCATTGTCGTTACGTAAGTTTCCTTTTCAAGTTTCTTTCCTTGATTACTTTATGTTTATGCTTTTACTAACTGTTATTACTATTTATTTACATGGTTTTGGATTGAATTTTAGATTTTAATATCAATTTTATAGGTGTTATGAAAAGTAACAAGGCCAACTAAAATGAGATTGATAAATATATTGGTACAAAAAGTCAATTGTAGTCTACTGATGCACATTAAAACATATTCTTTTGTAAAATTATATTTTTTATGTATATATTTTTTAAGTTAATATGATATTATCCACGATCACTTGATATTATGGTCTATTAAGGTTGAATGATACATAAGATTAAATGATAAATCACTATCCAAAAAAACATGGATCAATTACCACTTCAAATTCTGTTTTATCTCCTTTCTTTTTGAGATCACAAGTATTCTAAATATGTCAATAGCTCTTGAAGTTGATAGAAATATTAGCTATTATAAATAATTAATATGTGTTTCTGATTTTCACATTTAGGTATTGAGTTTCTATTTAACTTTGCATATGTATGACATAGAAGTTTTGTTATTTTTATATTTTGATTTTTCATCATTTTTCTATATTAAAAGGTCACAATTCAAAAATTCGCACCTCTTCAGTTCCATAACCTATATTTCTAATAATCTCCATAGTTATCATTCTTTTGTATTTTCAATCCCCACAATTAAATGTGTAAATTTCTGATAATTTATTGTGTTCTTTCATATATCCCTATATAAATGTAAATATATAAAGAAAGTCTTTGAATTATATACTGAAGTATAGTTGTTGACATTTAATTTGTCATAACAAAAGATTATATGTCGTACATATTGCCTTTTCTTGGGTTTTTTTGATGTCTATTCTTATAGAGTATGGAAAATTTCTATATTAGTATATTGACGTGGTTTTATAATCATATTTTAGAAAAATAATTTTGATAGTAATTTCTTTATTGTGTGATAATGGTTATTTTTAGGTTATGAGTAATTTGTTTTATTTATTTAAAAAGCATGAATTTCGCAAATTTCACCAAGTTGATACAATATAAAAAGCTTTGTGCAATTATTCTTACGCTTTCAACTATTCAAGTGACACAAATGTTATTTAACTTTAGGGGTTACAAATTTTATAAAACAATAGGTTGATTGTTCAAAAACATAGATTACAAATTGTATATTATTTTGTTTGATAGTTTGTGATACTTATTGTCGTGTGATTTTCTTAACTTACCATATATGATATTTTCACGTAATTCGTGTGCGAAGCACGTGTCCAAGACTAATATTACTACAAGTGGAAAAAAAAGTAAACGTCAATATCAAAATTACCCTATAAAGTCGAACTTCTATAATAATACCATTAATAACTCAGTTAAATAAATAATAAAATATCTATAAAAAAACATTTGACAGCTACTTATTAAGTTTATGATATTTTTTATTTTTTAATATTAAATTAGTTGGCAATAATCATCAATTTTAGTTAGTCATGAATGACCAAATTATGGAGAATGTAAAAAGTTGCGAAAATTGTTCTATATAGACCAAATCTCTCTCTCTCTCTCTCTCTCTCTCTCTCTCTCTCTCTCTATATATATATATATATATATATATATATATATATATATATATTTGTATCACTAACTTAGATTGTGACTTTTTTTCAATGGGTTGTGATTTAACCATAAGTTTTGATTTTTTAAAGAGTTGTGATTTTTTTCAATAAGTTGTATTTTTTCTAAAGAGTTATGGGTTTTTCAATAAGCTATGATTTTTCCAAAGTGTTGTGACTTCTCAAAAAGTAATGATTTTTCAAATAAGACAAAAAAATATTTATTTGTACTACTCTTTGTTAACTATAAATAGAGCGACTTCCTCTCATTTTCCAAACAAAATTTTTTCTAATCTTCTTCTCTTCTTCTTGCATTTTAAATTTTTTTGTATGATTTATTGTTGTTGACTGAATTCGAAGTTTAGCGAAATATGAGGTACCCCTATTGTGATGAAGTAAGTCGTTCTATCCAAAGAGAGTACATTACATAATCTCAAGTACTTGAGGAAAATAATATAATTTGATGATATAATAATTATTTTTTTCTTCATATACACATTAGTATGTAATGCACCAACATATGAAGTTAACATGATGTAGTCTAAATTCATTTGTTATTTATTAATAATTTCTCGTGTGATCTTATGTAGATATACTCTTCTAAATATCTTTTTTCAAAATTTAGAGAATTGTCACAATTTATTTTTATGCTCAAGACAAACGAATGACTTTATTTATTGCTACTTTTGTGATTTAGACTCTCAGGAAGTTTGCTTCATAACAGTTATTACTGTATAAACATTTCCATTTTGTTTTACTTATTTACTATTTCTTAATATTTCAATATTTTAGACGAAGAAAAGTTCATCTTACTTGTAATAACGTCCGTTAAAGCTTGTATTAGTTTATTTTTATTATTTTTAACAACTAATTTTATCAGATAAATATGATCATTAATGCAAATATATAAATTTATATTGGGTAGATATTTGTATTTAAATTAAATTAATATATATGACACAAATGTTTTACAAGTTAACGAGATCTTCTGACTTCAAAATATATTATTTTAAAATGTTTTGAGTACTTTTTAAAAAAATAATAATAATATCACAACAAATGTAAAAATATGTGAATATGTAAAATGTCATTGTTCTTTTCACATATTAATAGGACATCTAAACAATTTAACGTAGAATACACACGCAAAGACATCTTATTAGATTACAAGAACAATACAAAACATATATTGTTTATAAGGTAATATAAGTGAAATAAAACTAACTAGATGATTAAATCTCATCAAATTGAAATAAATATACACATAATTGTATTTAATTAATATTTCCTCTGTTTCCAAAAAATATGATCTCTTTTCCTTTGTGGTCAGTTTAAAAAAATCATCTCTTTCTTTTTTTGGTAACACTTTAATTTCGATTTTTCATGTGCATGATTAAAGCCACAAGATTGAAGGACAATTTTGTACATTATAAATAACTTTAAATTAGAATAACAAGATTCAAAAGTTTTCTTTAATTTCTTAAAATTTGAGTCAAATCAAACTAGATCAATATTTTTGAAATAGAAGAAGTAAATATTTTCATTGACCATCTTCATAGATTTACGTGAAAAAGAGATATATATGACGATTCATATTGAATTATCACAAAAGAACCCACAAAATTACTTTTTATTTATTTATTATTCAGAGTTTGACTTAAATAAACAATATTATTTACTATTTAAGATGTATTTTTGTAAATAATAATCACACGTAATACACATGTGAAAAAGCTTATTCACATAAATGTATCATTCTACTTAAGTTGATTTGTTCTGCTGTAAAACCATTGTATATATGGATGATCCATTAGAGTTATCCAACAATTAATTGTATTCATGTATTAGCGTTTCCAATGTGATAATATTTCAAGGTGATATGAGTCTTGATGATAACTATGTATAATTCTAAGGTGACCTTTTACTATGATATCTCAACACTATAAATAGAGATATCATTCACCATTGTATGATACACTTGAATAAGAAAATTCTCTCCTCCATCTTATACTTATTGTCTTTTTCTTCTTATATTCTGAGCTTTCTTTACAACACGTTATCAGCACGAAGTTGCTACTTGCAAAGGTATTATATAAATAACTTTATTTTATTTACATATTCTTTCATAATTTCATTATGTCGAATTTATCCAAACTTGATTTTGTGGCGTTAGATAAATCTGGAAAGAATTATCTTTCATGGGTACTCGATGTTGAGATTCACTTGACTGCTAAAGGTCTTAAAGCCACTATTAATCAGGGAAATGAAGCATCGAGTCAAGATAAGGCGAAGGCTATGATTTTCCTTCGTCATCATCTTGATGAGGGCCTGAAGATTGAATATCTGACGGTAAAAGATCCACTTAAATTGTGGACTGATTTAAAGGGGAGATATGACCACCTAAAGGTAATAGTGTTGCCAAGAGCTCGTTATGAGTGGACGCATTTACAGTTTCAAGTTTTTAAGACCATAATTGAATACAACTCTGTTGTATTCAATATAACCTCCCAGTTGAAATTATGTAGGGAGACGATAAAAGATGAGGACATGTTGGAAAAGACACTTACTACTTTCCATGCCTCAAAAATATGATATTGCAGCAACAATATCGTGAAAAGAGTTTTCAAAAATATTCTGAATTAATCTCATATATTTTGGTGGTTGAGCAACATAATGCTCTTTTAATGAAAAATCATGAAGTTCGTCCCACTGGATCTGCTCCATTACCGGAGGTAAATATGATGGAAGCACGTGATCAATCTGAAGTAAAAAGAGATGATCATCGGGGATATAATAATGCACATGGACGTGGCAAAGATAAACGACGATACACTAATCGTCCAGATGGTGGTCATAATAAAAGGGAGAACAACATGAGTTCTCAAAATAACCCCTCAAAAAGTAATTGTCATCATTGTGGCATGAAAGGTCATTGGAAGAATTAATGTCACACACATGAGCATTTTGTAAGGCTCTATCAAAATTCATTTAAAAAAAAAGGAAATAACAGTGGTGCTTCCTCTTCCAATGCTCGAGCTGAGTCACATATGACTCTTAAAGATGATGATAAGCTGGGAACATCTTAGAAATATGATAAGGATATTGAAGCAAATATGGTTTTAAAGGATAATGCTTTTGATGGCATTGGTGACATTACTCATATGGAAGTTGATGACTTCTTTAGAGATCGAAATTGATGTTTGATCTTTTAGCTAGGGAATGAAGTTTGTTAATATTTTACTTCTGTATTTTTAATTATTATGTTATTCATGTTAAAGTATTTAAATTTCCGTTGTTAATTTTGTTTCTTCCTTCTTTTAATGTATTTTATTTTAATGAAAATTAATTGAAATCCCAGTTTTCAGTTGGATTCAAGATTAATAATGGAGATGTATGCCTTCTTGATAGTGCTACAACGCATACAATATTAAAAGAAAAGAAATACTTTTCTAATTTGGTTATGAAAATGGCATATGTCAACACAATATCAAGTAGTACAAAATTAATAGAGGGCTCTAGAAGAGCGACCTTATTACAACCTGGAGGGACAATATTAAGAATTAATAATGCATTATATTGTAGTAAGTCTCAAAGAAACTTATTAAGTTTCAAAATTATTCGCCAAAATGGATATCATGTTGAGACGATAATGAAGGAATGGTTGAATACCTTACATTACTACAATTAATGTAGAGAAGAAAATTGTGCATGAAAAATTACCTGCACTTTTTTCTAGGTTATACTATACAAGTATAAGTACAATTGAATCACATGTCGTAGTAAACAAAATGTTTACTAATTTTAATGATTTTATTATTTGGTATGACCGGTTGGTCCATCCCGGATTTAATATGATGCGCAAAATCATTGAGAATTCACATGGGCACACCTTAAAGAGCCCAAATATCCTTCACTCAAAGGAATTCTCTTGTGCTGCTTGTTCTCAAGGAAAGTTGATCATTAAACCACCAACAGTTAAGGTTGAAATTGAATCATTTGCGTTTCTGGAACGTATACATGGTGATATATGTGGACCAATTCAACCTGCATGTGGACCCTTTAAATATTATATGGTCTTGTTAGATGCTTCTACAAGATGGTCACATGTGTGTTTATTATCAACTCACAACATGACTTTTGCGAGATTGCTGGCTCAAATAATAAGATTGAAAGCACAATTTCCAGACTATATAATAAAGACAATCTGTCTAGATAATGGTGGTGAGTTTACATTTCAGGCATTTAATTATTATTGTATGTCTACTGATATAACAATTGAACAGCCAGTTGAGCATGTTCACACTCAAAATGGTCTAGCAGATTCATTGATTAAATGTTGCAATTGATAGCTAGACCATTACTAATGAGAACAAAGTTATCAGTGTCTATGTGAGGGCATGCTATTTTGCATGCAGCAGCACTTGTGCGCATAAGGCCTACCAATTATCATGAATTCTCCCCATTACAATTGACTTTTTGTCAAGAGCCAAACATTTCCCATCTTAGAGTTTTTGGATGTGCAGTGTATGTCCCAAATGCTCCACCACAACGCACAAAGATGGGGCCCCATAAAATGTTTGGGATATATGTTGGATATGAATCTCCTTCAATCATAAAATATTTGGAGCCTATGATTGGAGATTTATTTAAGGCATGATTTGCTGATTGCCATTTTGATGAATCAGTATACCCAATATTAGGGGAAGAACATAAGTCGTTGGGAAAAGAGATAGATTGGAATTCATCATCGCTATCTCATCTGGATCCTCGAACAAACCAATGTGAGCAAGAAGTTCAAAGAATAATTTATTTGCAAAACATTGCAAATAAGCTACCAGATGCATTATCTATTCTTCCAAAGATTACTAAATCGCACATCCGAGCTGTTAATGTTTCAGTTCGAGTTGATATCCCGACGGGACAAATTATTAAGGCAAATGAGTCTAGACCACATTTGAAGCGTGGTAGACCAATTGGTTCCGAGGATAAAAATCGTCGAAAGAGAAAAAGAATAAGTGATCAAGATGATCATGGGTTTGAAAGAAATTTATAAAGATGAGACCCAAGTCATAACACATGATGATGAGGGGTTTCGAACTTCTGAAAACAATGAAATTTTTCAATGAATTATGTATCGACGAGAAAGTTGTGGAATCGAAATAATGTTGTGATTGACAACATATCTTTCTATAATGTTGATATTGAAATAATGCAATAAGATGAAGATTTTTAGCCAAAATTTGTTCACGAATGTAGAGAGAGAATGGATTGACCAAAATGGAAGGATGCAATTCAAGCTAAATTGGCTTCACTAAAAAAACGTAAAGTTTTTGGACCGATAATCTGAACACCTGAAGGTATCAAGTCAATGGGGTACAAATGAGTTTTTGTACGAAAAAGAAATGAGAAAGATGAAGTCATGAGATATAAGGTCCGACTCATTGCTCTAGGTTTTTCTCAAAGACCTGGCATTGATTATATGGAGACATATTCTCCAGAGGTAGATGCAATCACCTTCAGATATCTCATAAATCTGGCAGTTCATGAAAAACATAAAATTCATCTAATGGACGTTGTCACAGCCTATCTATATGGCTCGTTGGACCACAACATTTTCATGAAAAATCCTGAAGCATTCAAAGTACCTAAACATTACAAAGATTCAAGAGAAACTTGTTCAATAAAGCTTCAGAAATCTCTATATGGATTGAAACAATCTGTAAGGATGTGGTACAATCGTCTGAGTGAACATTTGTTAAAGAAAGGATACAAAAATGACCCGATCGGTCCCTGCATTTTTATTAAACGGTCAGGGTCTAAATTTGAAATAATAGTTGTGTATGTTGATGATCTGAACATCATTGACACTCGTAAATAACTGTTAGAAGCTTTTGAGTGTCTGAAAAAAGAATTTGAAATGAAAGATCTCGGCAAGACAAAATTTTGTCTTGGCCTATAGATTGAGAATTTGTCAAATGGAATACTTGTTCATCAATCAATGTACACAGAAAAGATACTAAAGCAATTATACATGGATACTCACATCCATTGAGTACTCCAATGGTGGTAAGATCGCTTGACATCAATACAAATCCATTTCGATCTCAAGAGAATGATGAATAGCTTCTTGATAATGAAAGTTCTTACCTTAGTTAGATTGGGTCAGTAATGTACCTTGCTAACAATACTCGACCAGATATCTGTTTTGCATTAAGTCTTCTGGCAAGATTCAGTTCCTCCCCAACAAAAATACATTGGAATAGTGTTAAACACATACTTCGATATCTACGGGGGACCATGGACATGGATTTATTCTATTCCAATGAATCAAAGTCAGAATTGATTTGCTACACAGATGCAGGGTGCTTATCTGATCGGCATAAAGCTCGATCATAAACAGGCTATTTGTTTACATGTGGAGACACGGCAATATCTTGGCGATCAATGAAGCAAACGTTGGTAGCCACTTCTTCAAATTATGCAGAAATAACAGCCATCCATGAAGCAAGTCGAGAGTGCGTCTGGTTGAGATAAATGACCCATCTTATTCAGGAAATGTGTGGTTTTTCTTTGAAAAAGAATATACCAACCACAATGTACGAAGATAGTGTTGCATGTATAGCTCAATTGAAAGGAGGACACATCAAAGGAAACCGGACAAAGCATATCTCACCTAAAGTTCTTTTTCACGCATTATCTTCAACAAAATGGTGAGATAGAAGTTCGATAAGTTCGTTCAAGTGATAATCTTGTTGATTTATTCACTAAGGCATTGCCAACATCAACGTTTGAGAAGTTGAGATACAAGATTGGAATGCGTCGTCTCCGGGATATCAAGTAATGTTCTCAATAGGGGGAGCAAAATACGCGTTGTACTCTTTTCCTTAACTATGGTTTGCCCAAGTTGGGTTTTCCTGGTAAGGTTTTTAACGAGGCAACATTCAAAGCGTATTATGAGATATGTGTACTCTTTTTCCTTCACTAGGCTTTTTCCCACTGGGTTTTTCCTAGTAAGGTTTTAACGAGGCACATAATCTATGGATATCCAAAGGGGGGTGTTCTAAATCCATTGTATATGTGGATTATCTATTAGCGTTATCCAATAATTAATTGGATTCATGTATTAGTGTTCCAATGTGATAAGATTTCAAGGTGATATGAACCTTGATGATAATTATGTATAATTCCAAGGTGACATTTGACTATGATATCTCAACACTAGAAATAGAAATATCATACTTCTTTTACTTTGACTATGATATCTCAACACTAGAAATTCTCTCCTCTATCTTATACTTCTTATCTTTTTCTTCTTATGTTCTGAGTTTTCTTTACAACATATTCAATAATGTTTATTAAAGTAATAAATGAATAAACATTCTCCATTGTGATATGAATATACACTAATTTTGAAGTTGATGACACCACTTTAACTTCTCTCGGATTTCATACATTACTCTTTCATATTCATAGTCATGTTCATAATATCATTTGGTATTTTATATTGTTGTTTTATAGAGGCATAATAAATTTTTATCACTAAAATAATAATCAAATCTATATTTATATCATCATAATATATAGTATATTATATTTTTTATTTTATTTTATTTTATTATAATATATTATTGAAAGTGGAAGCTTTAACATTAAGAGTTTGATTATCATATTGGTCCACCACTAAATTAAAATGAAATTAATTTAGTTATTAAATATTAAAATTTTAATTACATCACGGTGAAATATGAAGTCCAACAATTATACTTGATTTTTTTAAGCTATGACATTATAATTATAATTGATTAGGTTAATTTCAATCTTAATCTTAATCTTAATTTTAATCTTAATATAATATAAAGGAGAATTATAGACAAGGTGATGTGACACCTCTCTATGATCTCCACATGTATTTATTTTTTTCTCATTTTCTTGATTTTTCTTTCTTATTTAAATTAATTATCTTATTGCAAAAGTCAGTATTTTATTTATTATAATAAGTATCTATATCTGTATGTACATAATAGGAGAGGTGATAGCGTACGTGTTAGCACCACAAAAATTAGATTATTTCGAATAATTAAATTGT